ACGTTTCAAAAGTTTGGGATCTGAAAGATCTTTAAATATAGGTTTTATACAGTCCATCACTGCAGCTGGCATGCTGCTTCTTGTGGTTGGAATCCTTTCTCAGAACCAGCAGCTTTTGCTCTTTGGAACGCACACCATGAATTCTCACCTTGTGGACAAAATTCGTGAAGAGGTTCATCATCGGTAGAACGTTTATGGTAAAATATAGCCCGCACAGTTTTATGCATATCCAGGCATGATCGCTTGTTGCTCCTACAGGGGCGTAGCTAGAGGGGGGGCAAGGGGGGCATCTGTCCTCGGGCGCAGAATCCAAGGGGCGCCAAACTGATGTTACGACATTTTAGAAATAAATGTTCTCCATCCTGGCAAGCAGCAGGGGGTGAGAAATCTTCAGTTGTCCCTGGGCGCTGAAAACCCTAGCTACGACTCTGTGCTCCTAATAGCATTACCATAGTACGTTGTAATTTGATCTATATCTTTATACGACCTTTTCCACTCAATGGCTTTGACCAGCCAATAAACAAAGCAACAAACCTCAAACGAAATCACAGTTTTTAAACTTAGCTCTTACTTTCTACTCCACTTTCTACTGAATCAAAACAAAATTAAAGTATAAATAACGTTTCATCTCGTCTTCTTTCCCTGGCATATTTTTATTTTTAAATAGCAATGGCTGACTTTCAGCACACGAAATCCAAACTGATGCCCTTTAAACTATAAACAAATACTATAGTAGAGGCCACGATCATTGCAAGTATAAGAAAAACAGTTGCTTCGATATTTACATTATTTTCAATATCTCGCAAACTAATGAATGTATGATAAAAAATTGCCCCAAATTACTCAGAAGTGATTGGGATATAAAAATATCAGAAAATTGAAAAATCAAATTTTTGAAAATTTTAAAGGTGTACTGTACTAATGATATCGAAAACTGGAGTGGATCTAAAGATGCATACTGATGCAGATGCATTTGAAAAGAAATTATATTATAGATTATTATAAATATTTCGACTGAATTTTAAAGCATTGGAATGCTACGTCTTCAAACCACTTAACGACACGTAATGATACAGCATATTTATTTTTAACTTAGAGATAGTGGATATTTAAAGTTATGCAGGCTTCCCGCCGAACACTGTTCCTAATTCCGTAGACGAACTTTGCGTTGTTGAGCTAAGCATATTAATAACTTAATAAACTAGATCATATTTTTGCTGAAACAGGGAAAATAACCAAATTAAAAAGAAGAGTTAAAGACATATTGTAAGTTAAAATTTTTAATTTATCTTACTTATTTTTTATTTTGCATATACACATTGGGATGTCGGTATGCATATTAATGGATTCTGCTCTTGAAATTACTTGGACCTTTTCAATTTAAATACTGTTCTTTCATTTTTGTGGGATTTTTGATAGTGATTTCAAGTACTCACAATTTTATATTTATGTTTCTTGTATTATTTTAAACTTTAAGCTACTACTTAAATGAATTTCTTTTCGTTACGTACCACAGGTTAAATTTAGCTTTCAATAATTTAGCATAGAACATAAAATCTGGTTATTAGGCAGCGGTTAAACGCTTTTTTGGACTAAGATGCATAACCAGAAGCATTAAAATGATCTTTCTGTCAATTACATGAGATAGAGATATTATTAAATCAGACGAATTAAAGTTATTGTTAAAAAATAAAATACAGATATACATTGTTGAAAAATATGCATATTGTTTTCAAATCTTTTAACTAATTTAAAACTACAACTTAATAGATAAAAACTATTTATTTAAGCAATATTCAACTTTAATTTGAAAAATAGATTTAAAGATCTATGGTACGTTGAATGGCAAATCTTTGAGAATTGGCTACTTGTCAGGCCGCATGGATGAAAAGTAATGTGAGTAAGAAAGATAGAGATTCTACTACAAATGCTTTTAATATTCATAACTATTTACATTATCTTTACATAGTACATAGTGATACATAGTGATCTATATTTTACATAGTGATTATTTATATTGTAAATTTTAAGATACGAAGTATTAAATTCACAACTGAAGTCATAAAGAGGAACAACTTTTAGTAAATATTTTTGTAAAATCTGGTAAACCACTGATGTCCAGAAGCTTCATCAGGCCTCATTTTGATCAATCTATAGCTGGTAAGTTTCTGAAAAGAATAATTTTAAACAGCTTCTTTAGAAGAGGCACTAAAAGTTGGTTTTGCTCTCGTATAGGTATTACTTTAATTTCATTAGAGTTATCTCTTCAAAAGGAGAATAACTAATGCCTCGTAAATATTTCCAGATTCTTAATATGTCACTTTTTGCATCCTGGTTCACAGGGAAAGTCAAATTTGACCAACATAAATATATTATTGAATTTAAATAAAATAACTTTTTAAATGCATAAACATAAATATCAATAAAAGCTAGCGAAATGTTCGTTTTCAATGCTACAACATAGTAACATAATCTTAATATAAAAGTAAGGGACTTTGCTAGTCATTCGTTCTCTCCTGTTTATTTCGCCTTTCGCTTCACTCCCATCACAGAATTTTCGGCTGATTGAATTTTGGGGAGCTATATACGTCATCCTAGAAATCAATCGAACTTCAGATAAATTCCACATAATTATCATACTGCATTTCTATTTTACCCAGGAGAATGTCCTTTCTATATACTTCATTTGCTTGAATACTATCTGGATCACAGATTACGTATACTCCTGGTGGTACACAGCTTTCGCGTTTCCTTACATAGTAAATAACACATTTGCTTTACTTTGTAATTGGTGGTCTTACCCCGTTACCGCAGAAAACATTTTAATCTGAGCTAATTCTATGATAAATACTAATTATGCAACGTAGATAGCACATGATTGTCACAGATACAGGTATACTAGGGCAAACGTGGGACAAAATTTCCTCTTTGATGCAATCTGGTCACCTTATGGAAAGCCATGATAAAAGGAAAAAATATTAAATTACCTACAGCATTGTATGCATTATAGCAGTTGTAAATCGCTGTATATTTACTGAATTCTAATAAAATAAAATTTATTTATGAATTGGAGATATTCTTTATTGAATCTAGTTTCTGTTTCTTTAGGGTGACCAACTGTCCCCAAAATCGGGACAGGCTGAAATCAGTAAATTTTGTCCCACCCTCTCGGGGGTATCAGTGAAAACACTGATTCGCAATCAGTCAAACGTTTGAGCTAAAATTACAAGTAAAAAGAAATGCCACGTCCGATTTTGAACTGAGGTGGTTGGTCACTCTGCCTCTGTCAACACTTCGGAAAACACTAATTTTTGAAACCTTAAATATTGATGGTAACATATCGAGAAATAATCGTTATTGAATGCCACTGTAATTAAATAGCTTTTACACTAAAATGACTCGCTAAATGACTAAGCTAATGTGGTAGAAAATGATCAAGTTGTAGAGCCATTAGGATTTTTTTACTCTGGAGATGTGAAAAGTGTACAGTGCTCTCGCCGGGACGGGAAACCTGGATCTCTCGAATACGCATCGAGTATGCTTCCAATTACACCACGAAGGCACGAGAAAAGAAGGGAGAAAACACCATATAAATTATATAAAACAAAGTACATTTTGTGCAATGTGCATTTTTATTATTTATGCATATTATTATAAAGAATGAGGCCTTATTATAAATTATTAGGTCTTTCAAAAATTTTGAAAAGCGTCATTTTCCCTTAGGAAAATATTAAGCTCTAAAACTAAATCTTTGCCATTGGCTACTATTTTTGGTTCAAGTTAAAGTAATGTAGCTTATTTGTGATAACTGCCATTATTAATATAAAAAGCTATATAGAATACTCAAAATGCTCTAAAACATAAGAGCATTTTCGGTTTAAGGTCAATATATGAAAGCTGAGTTAAATGTCTGTCAAATATCTACAAGATTTTGTTAGAAAATATAACAATGTAAGGGATCCTTTTTACATGAAAATGCCCATTCGCTTACATTTTTAATAAATACTTTTCTTGAAATAAAAAAAAAGGAGTCTAAAATATGCAAAAGCAAACACACATTATCTCGGCTACAGTACACAAAGCAAATATATTCCTTTTATTCCTGCGTAAACCCTATTTTTTTCTAACGGTTTCCATTAATAAACAAAAAGGGCATCTTATCATTTTTGTATTTCAGATGCAGAAATTCAAACTCAAATTGTCAAACCTTTATGAAGTTGCATATAGAAGGATATAGTTTTTGTGTTTACTGTGTGCAGGATATCTATAAAATCACTGCGGAACTTCAAACTTTAATAACTTGAGATGTACTCGTATGATGATAGGAATACTCTATATAGCGCACATAAAAGTTTTCTTTTCAAAATTTTATTGCAATACATTTCAACTTTCTAACATTTAATACAATGACCATTTTTCATGATACGTTAACAAAACAGTTATCCAAATTGTTGAAAATATTTTTCCATTGTAGTTCACTGTTGCTTGCGTTGCACGCGGCTGACTCTTCTCATAGATACATAAGCAAAATTACTGTCCACAAAGAATAATTGGATTGCTTCTGTGACCCTGATCCTGAGATCCTCGAAAGAATTTGGCTTGATGAATAGACAGTTATTTTCATGTAACGCCATAAAAATAGTCTAGAAAGGTCTGTTTAAGTGAATGTGACACCAAACAATTGGTTCGGTCCTTCTAGTTTATTTACTGGGGAAGCCATCTTTCATACGTGTCCCACCCAAAATATAGTAATGCATAAACTGTCTAGAAACGTTTGTACATATTTTATAGAATATTTCTATTGAACACGCACCCAAAGTTGTTAAGACTTAGAATTAAATAAGGTCCTCAATTTTAAAACTCGTTGAAACTTTCTGTATTCTAAAAGTTTTGATCTTAAAGTGTATGTGTTTCAGTCAAATATACAAAAAACACTTAAATCATGTTCATTTTAAGACTATCATACATGAAGAAATCCATAGTCTTGATTAGACATCAGCCACCGATCTAGATATCGTTTTTCATTTTTGTTCAGTTACAAGTATTTTTGACTACCTACACTCTCTCACTTTCTCGCTGGACAGCGTAAATTGCAAACGACGCTGTGTCACAATATTCTTTAAACTCTGTTTTTATTTTAGGCTAATAGAAAATGTACTATTTACCGCATCAATTTACATCGCAGGTGCTAAATCGTGCTCCACTCAGACAGTTTTGAAGAGTTTTAAAACACTTATTATTAATGTATAAAATAATATCGTTAGAAAATCACGAGTTTTCATGATTATTTGGGTATTAGTCTTATCTAAAAGGCTTATTTTACAGCTTATTTTAGTACTTTTTCTGTTACATTTGACTCAAAATTCCGGGCTTTATGCTTTGCCACTTGAGTTAATTCAAATCTAAGTTAAGACGACACATTAATGACGAGTTTTTATTAAATTGCTGGAAAACATTTTGGTTGTCATAGTGACATGCAATGATATATTTTTGTGCATAACAGAACTATTAATCAGTAAGAGAAGTAGGTCACAATATCAATGATCTACTACCAGTATTTAGGCTGATTTTGGAGGTCGTCATTGTAAAACTGGTTCAAATTAGGAGCAAAGAAGTTTACCATTTTCCAGATGTTCATTAAGGCTACTTAGCTGTCAACGAAAGAAAAAACTGAGAGTTTTAGAGAAAAAAAACTAAGCTACGCACTGGAGAAAGCAAGAAGTTCGAGCGTGTTTTGACGATTTTATCAACTAAATAGTTAAGATGTAATAACAGTACATTTCATTTATAATACTAAGGGGCTCACCAGCGGCCGAGCGGTAAAGTCGCTGAACACTGGTAGTTCGGTCCGAGGTTCGAATCCCGCGAACGGGCTGGCTGCATGGGCGTTTTCGTGGTTTCCCCATGTGTAACGTGTATACGAGCCAGTTTCCCTTAGAAAGTCCTCCACGAAGGCATCCCTCCTCTTAGGCAGATAGCCCTCGAGGCTTTGCCATACTCACACACACATACACACATTTATAATACTGGAATTTGGCAGGAGCAGCTTTAAATTATTACTCTGTATAAATTCCATTAAACATAATTTAATTTACTCGAGGGTTTCTTATTTCGCTTGAGACCCAAGTGGTTTATTATTCATTCAGTTTAACTGGAACTTCGCGTTGCCACAGAAGCTGCTGTTATTTTTCAGATCCATGGAAGCGGCAATAGAACAGTATGGACTCAGATCTTTCTGCATGTTAATATCTGTGAATACTCACCTTTGAAAGGTGCTAAAGCAGAAATTTTGAGAATATTATGGCGAAGAGATATTTTACCTGATATTCAAGCTTTCAGAACCTTCTCAGAAGCCCAATATTTCAAATAATATTCCTTTATTCTTAAAATTTTTTACAGCTGAAGCTTTTCAGACGTGCCAACTTTTATATAGCTTACTTAGAACCTAACTTTGTTTTCTGCTCACTACATTCATCCATCTGTAGTGTGATTTTGATGGAATTTATTACATCCTTAGAAATAATTTCAGAGCTTTGGAAAGAAATAACGCGTATACCTCCACTAAGATAATTATGATAATTAGTTCATGTTAGTCATGAAAATTTTCCAGTGGGAATATTTAAAATTTTCTAAGCAATGGGTCGAAGGAGAGGTGTTTCATATGTGTAATTTCATTGAGACTTTTTGTGCTTTTCAGCGCGTAATGATTCATAAGTAAAATTTTTGCTGCTCGATATAGTAGTTAAAAAACAACCATCCATATTTCTGATCTTCACAGAATTTTTTTCAAAGAAAATCTCTCAAAATGGAGTATTGTCTTCAAGCGTTCATACAAGTTATATCACTTAAATATGAAATTTTTCCGTAACAACGTACCCATAAATGAATTACAATGAATAGTTATTTCGAAAATCGTTTTCGAAAATGAGCTTTAAAATAAGCGATTGCTAAATCTTTTAGCATGTTAAATACAGAATGTCATTCTGCTAAGTATGTCACCATACATAAATTGCCTAATCTGTTTTAAAAAAAAGGTTTGTAAAAGAAACAATGATTCGCAAAAAAGTTTTATAACTTAAGTAATATTTTTTGTGAAATTAGAGAACATCACTCCAGACAAAGAAAGCGAAACCTTTATTAAACTACTGTACTAATTTAGTGCCAAGGCAGCTCAACATGCTTATCAGTCTCAATTTTCTCTTCTGCATTTATTAACAAAACGTCTTTAATTCACCTACTTTTTCACAATCTTATAGTTAACAACTTCCTCGTTGGCATATTTCAGGATTTCAAAGCAGTTTACGTCAAGAATTTGGCTCAGAAATTCATTTTAAAAATATACATTCTCATAAATTTGAATACTTAAATGTCTTCTCGGAAAGACATAAATATGATAATGCAAAGTGGAAAATCGCAAGTGCAATCATAATCTGAAATGCAAATATTTATACGAATATTAAAGTTGAAAGAAATAAGAAGGAATCTAGAGGACTTAAAGAAGACGATATTTATGCGACGAAAGAAAACGTTGTCTAAAATAAAGTCTGGTAAATAACTTTACTCAATAAAAATTTTTTATATTTGATTTATAGCTGAATTTATTATAACTCATAGTTTCCGAACACTTTTTACTTATTGCCCTCTCTTCCGAGTTAATTTTGATCATCATCCCCTTAGAGTTTGTTTAGCGATCCCAACCTTTGCAATAATGATACAGTTATTAGATGTTCTCTGATTGTGATCAGTAGGCAGTGACTTTTTACGCAATGAAAGTTTTAGGTATTTTTTGAACTTTTACTATACCGAATCATTAATAAAATCTCCTCACCAATTCTGGAAGTAGAATGATAATAAATAAATATTTCTCAAAACATTTTAGTAATAAATTTGTGCATTCATGCTCATAGTCCTCAGTGGACACTAAGGATTATTAAACGACTTCACTTGGAATAAAAATTAACTTTACTTACATGCGGCTTGGACCTATTTTTTGTAAGGACAGATTGATGTGATTTCGTACGATTCTTACAAAGGTGCATAGCTGAAATTAATTTTAGGATCAATGACATTCAAGCAAATTTTTAAGTGCTCATTTAAAAAACTTTTAGGTAATCAAATATTACAAGTGTGCTCTTGTTGCTCACTTACTTCTCAACTCATTTGTAGTGCCTCTCACATCAGCAACGCCCCTAGCTTTCCTCAACACCTACAGTAAAGAGCAAATTTTTGAAGCCGTATAAAAATGATTTCTAAAACATCACACAACAATAAAAATTGAAGAAACTTGTTTATTTTCTTATTTTTCTCTTACATCAAATCCTGAAAGGATATTGTGAGTTTTATTTTTCTTTTTTTAGCACAGATTCGTGACAAACATTTTCGGTGTTATTATACTACCGAAAATCCTCTGCGCTCTATTAAAAAGAGGCAATCAACAATAGATGATTATTTTGTGAAGGTAGAAGGTACGTATTTTAGTAAATACGCCTTTTTTAAATGCAGTAAAACTTCAGTTACTCGGATTAACTAAAAACGCAAATAAGTAGCAAGCTTAATTTTAAGAGGTTTTTTTTTGGGGGGGGGGAAGAGATGATCCTGATAATTAAACTTTCGAATAACTGAAGCTCTACTGTACATTATTATTGTTTGTTAAATCCCTTATTTTATATTACTGACCGGTAATTAACAAATATCACTGTAAGTGCTTTGAAAATTCATAAGAAAGTTATTTACAAATATAGAAACAAGTTATCTAATACTAATAGTAGAAAATTCTGTTTTGTATATAGTATATGGAGCACTACTCTATTACAGCCGACAATATGTTGCGAAAAATTTGCTTGAATCCGGTACGCTTCTCACAATAAAGCATCGGAGATTTTAGGCAGCTTTTTAATTTCTTGCAGCATGCATACGTAAAAAAGAAAAAAAAATCTATTTCTTTATGCACGCGTTGTAGAATCATATGATATAAGATTTTCCAATGTAAGTATACTATTAATGTATCCAATAACTGCATATTAATTACAGTAGTAATGTGTTCCTTTATTACTCTACAATAAGTTAATTTTATTATAGCATGGATAATGAATCTGATGTCAGGAGTAATGCAGCCATATTTCCACTTGGGGATGTATATCATAACACTTTGTTTACTCATAAGTCCTATTCAACTACTTAAAGAAATTTCTAAATCAGAAAGAATATTAGAAATTAACATTATTTTACGATAATCTGCGTAAAGAAAAGCCAAAAGTTAGGCACAAGATTTCCACGTGTTGACCTTCTGATATCAGCTTTTCTTTTTATCCTAAAATAAATGTAATCAAATGCTTCATAAACTTCTTCCACTTGTTCAATAAAAACAACTGTTAAGACAATTAAAATAAAACTTACCAATCCGCATAAATAGATGAATGTGACCAGCAGTTTTTCTTCTTCTACCCACTTTCCTAGATATCTCATCGCAGGAAAATTTCTTGCAAGAAGGGCTGAAGGCAAACTTGCTACAGATAAAAATAATACATATTATGAATAACGATAGCTACGTATGCGTAGATTGTACTATATCACAGTGTTTCTCAACCTTTTTTCTCCATTCACGCATGCCCTAATTTCTAAAAGATCATTCCTCGCCCCTCCTTTCGAAAATTCAAAAAGCACATATGTATTTATTTTAATTTAGTTTATTTTAATGTCTTTTAGAAATGAAACAAAAAAGTATTGTAAATAATGATAATACCAAAACTCGGATAAAATAGTTTTCTATATCCATAAACTAAAACTAAATAATTAATAGGTAAATAAAAGGCTGGCAGCATCCCCCCCTGAAACTATTAAATTCTGCTCTGGTTGAGAACCTCTGTACTAACAGAAAGGTGCCGTTTATACACTCTACCTCTTTCTGAATCTTGAAATGTCTCTCTTTTTTTCGAAGCAGCATTCTCTTCAAGCTTTCCGTACAAGTTATTTCAACTTATTTTCCTTACTTATTTTATTTATTTAACTTATTTTAACTTACTTTCTTCCTTTTCCGTAAATATTTTTTTCGATATAATTTGTCTAAGCAACATCCATGTAGTACAGCTTGAAAACAGTTAGGATCGTCATGTTTGTAACCAGTGCCGATATACCATATTATTATTATAACCATCGAAGACAAGTGAAAATTTTACAACAGAAAGTAATCGAGAGGACAAAGGGTCGCTGTTTGAAACGGCATAAATAAATAATACTTCCAGTAAAAAAACATTTAGAACTAAAGAAACTTTAAATTGTTTCCTCATTGAATTGAATACTTTCCTTGAAACTAAACGGATATTGAAACACTTGTAAATTGTATCATGTAATCGTACATATGCGTACGCGAATACAAAAAATTAACAATATTTCAACCGTAGAGCTTCATAAAGGCTATTGTGAATAGTTGTATATTTTCATTGCTATTATAATAAGCAACAGTTTTAATAAGGTATTTTATCTTGATACGTTATGGAAAATTGAGCTACTTTCATTTCCAACAGCTACTTTCTTTCTACTGCTCAACAGAAGTTGCTAATTAATAGAATTAATTAAAGATAAATTGATCTATTCAGCATATCTCCGAAGTAATTTGCTGGGATAGGAGTACATCTTTACCAGGACGCTTCGGGTATATAACAAAATTATGAATACACTTGGAAAAAATAGGCGTGTTTACTACATTTAACATTTGAGACTTACCTTAATAAGTATTTATTTGTCTCAATTACTAGAAAATGAACTCAAGATATGAAGTACAGGTAAATTTACTCAAGTTCCAAATTCTCAGAAACGTAAAATAACATTATTTTAAATAATTTACCTATATAAGTGAACATTTATTGATTTATCAACACCTTGTCCAACCTTTTAATGAATGAAATGAGATGTAAGTAGTCAGAAAGTTCAGTCAAGTTAAGCTATATATATATACATGTGAGTGTGAAGAGCCCTGAATGTTTAATTTTAGTTTGAGTATTTCCCTTCTCTATGCTAAAATAATAATCGTTTCCCGAGCTGCTCTTTTCGAGACTAATTCAAGGCATATGAGTCTTATATAAAGCTGGAAACGATGAAAATGGAACTAAAGCACAAACAGGCAATAATAATTTTACAGCGGTTTTAATTATCCAGTCCAATGCATTGAAAACCGAAACTAATTCATTCTGAATTAAAATTTCATCTTAACACATTTTTTTTCTTTCTGAATTTCGGCTTAGATGGACTGCTGTTTTTTTTTTACTGCAAAGCTATCAAAAATGTAAACGTTTTGAAATACGCACTAGTACACTGCCAAGTGGTTAATCGCGGCAGCATGTTTACTGAAATAATGATGAACCTTAGCCTCGATTGCTAAGTTGCTCTCCATTACGGATCTCAGTATCTATGCAATCAAAATTCCTACCATCGTCGCAATTAAGTCTACTGCTACTGTGTGTGTTATGTGTAATAAAATCATGTTTGATGCTGCCATAGATGTTGACGATGAAAACTGATTCGTGAAAAGGTAGAAATAGTTGTAGTCAGTTTAATATTTCTATTATTGCAGTGAAACATTTTTTAAAGTTACCAACACAAAAGACACTCCTGTTCTGAAGTAGTTACATAGGTACATGTTTACATTTTTGTAATATATTTAAAGAAAGAAGGAGCGGCATGGGACTTCAAACCAGGAGGACAGAGAAGCGGAGAAGAAATACGCAGTTTCCAATTTGAAGCTATGGTTAAAAATGACTTACATATGGTTTCGCTTTATTCCTCTTGACTAATTTAGGTTTCAGTTCTCATATTTTAACATTGCAATTGGTTGAAGGGTTATCTAAATTGTACGAGTGGTATTAACTTTATATAAGAATGATATGACAAGCATTAATTTTGAAATTAAGAAGTTAAGGGTGATTTATTATTAGCATATTATTATTTTTAGAATGGAAACAGAAAGTACCCGAATTAAAAAGGAGACTTAATGGGCTATTACAAATTAAAGTTACGGTATCATTTAACACATTTTTTATCTATATGCAGTATCTAACCAAATTTATACGGGCACCCAGTGGTACGGTCTCGGAGAGTCCTGAGGCATATATTAATAAGATGTTGTTTTCCCCTTTTGCGTCGATGACTGCCTGCACATGTCTGGGAGACTTGCAACCAGTTTGTGATAGGTGGGCATAGGAATTAACTTAATTAATTAAAAGGCGTCCATCACAGTTGAAGTGAGTGCTGGCAGTGAAGATGGTTGATTTGACTGGTTACGTAATCTGCGTCCCAACTCGTTTCAAAGGCGTTTTATGAGATTTGGATTGGGGTTCTGAGAAGGTCAGTTCAGATTTTGAACACCCAGTTCGTCAAACCATGACTGCGCAAGTCTCGATGTGTGAATGGAGCAGTTATCCTGCCGAAAGAGTAATGGGCCTTCCTCGAAATATTGCAATAGAGTTGGGAGAGCAGCATTGTTTAGAATGCCCATATACATTTCAGAGTTCATATTTGCAACCATAGGAATTAAAGGAATCCAGGCCAAACCATGAAAAACACACCCACACCACTAAACTTTACAGTCGACATAATGCAGTCACTAAAGAAGCACTCGTCGGGCATTCGCCAAACAAAGACGCGTCTATCGGACTGCCAAATTGTAAAGCGTGGTTCATCCCTCTATAGAACGTTTTCCACATGTCCATAGTCTAATGACGGTGAGCTTTGCACCATTGCAATCGACGTTTTGCATTCTGGGGAGTGATGTTCGGCTCATGAGCGACTGCACGAAATCCCAGGTTTTTTTTTTAACTCTCGAAGAACAGTCTGCCACTAGCACTATCGCCTGATGAAGTTTGGAACTCCTGAGTGATTTCAACCAACGATGACTTGCAATTTTTTTTCATTATCCTTTTCAGAGTTTTACGGCTGCGTTCACTAACGTTTTTCTGCCTGCCACTTCGTTTTTATGCAGTTTCACTGCCTCGACGTTTCTATTTCATAATTACATATTCACAATGGATTTTAACTCCATATAGAATGTCCGAAATTTCACGAACTGATTTCTAACAAAGGTAGCATCTCACTATACTACCACAATCACTGAGGATTATTTTAACTGAGCTCCTTTGACTTACTCATTCTCTCACACTAAGTCACAAAGCTCCTTTGACTTACTCATTATCTCACAAACGCATAATTATGAGCTGACAAACCACTTCCAATAATTTTAGAGCTTTTGGTTACACATCAAATTACGTCACCTGCCAGATCTACTTCTTTAGGGGGATGTCCGGATATTTTTGGACAGATAATGTATATCGATATAAATAATCAACATTTTTAAGTTGGACTGAAAAAAATGAACCCAATTAAAAACCAAATGAAGGAAATTTCTCCTATAATTTTCTAAATATCGAGTTCCTATGAAAGTTACAAGTGTTTATATGTTTTAAACTCAAATGTG